CGTTTTTAAGACACTACACTCCTTGGCACTATGGACCTTATTACGCTTCAGTAATAAAAGACAATCCCCAACAGATCGCAAATTGCATTTAATATTTTAAAATCTTGTTTAGCCATTTAATAGAAACACCAGCGGGTTCAATAGGTGAATTGTTATATATATGTCGGAGTTCGATTAGTTCTTAGAATGGCTATAACTAACGGCGTGGAACAATCATAACGGAAAATATAAGACATTCTCTTTGATGTATTTAGTTTGTATAACATAGGATATATTGAGTGTAAACACATTGTTTGCCTAATAAGTAATCAGCATACAAGTAAACTCACAGGTGGTTGGTAAAGGGTAGGTTGGGCGTTTCAAGTATGACAATCATTGCCCACAGTCGCTGGTTTTATTCTTATACTATTCGCTTGGGTATTTACATAAAGTTGCTATAGAGTAGGTTGGGCATATCATGTATAGACATAGTTGTCCACATTCGTTGAATTTATTTTATAATACTTAAACGAAGAGGTGAACAATATATTATACATTATTGTGGTCATTATACAAAAATTTTGCCCATTTAGGGTAAATAAAACGCTATCCAAATCCAGCACGAAAAAAAGAACCACCATCCTCCTCCCCTGGACATTGTTTGATAAAATCAAGGAATTTGCATTGTGTCGTTTCTACTTTGCTGAGCAATCACAATAAACCACACCATCTCCCCCTGGGGATATTTTGAGAAACGCAACTCCGTTGTCAATACTCGTACCATTTTTTTCTAATCATAAAATAGATATTAACTTAAATGGAATAGGTGTACATGTACACAGTTATTATACGTCTGAATAATATCCATGTATTGTATGATCAGACGTTACAGCCGAATTACATTTATTATTAATATGTCAATTCAATTCGTCGGCTTATCCTGGCGTAATCGTAACGCAGAAGCCAATCGTAAACAAATTTTTCACTGCTCTTTATGCGAATCATTAAACATTTCTAGCAAACTCGGTATATTATGTTGTACCGTCTATACTATGATTAATACCATCTTGAAGAAGCCATTTTGTCGTCTAGGTGACTTCCCCCTAGCAATAGCCTGGAACTTCTGCGATTTCTGTTGTAGCTGAATAAGGTCGTCTTTCATTTTTCTCATAACTGGATGATGGGTTCTTCATGTCATCCACTGTACTGGATAACCTTTAACATTTCTGGGACTTCTGGAATTTCTGTTGTAGCTTATTAAGAGGGTCGACTTCCAATGTGTCGCACAACTAGATAACAGGTTCTTCATGATTGTCATCAACTTTACTCGATAACCTTCAACATTTAACAATTCTGATTAATGATTGTTAAAGAAGAGGGGGGGGGATAAACACAAACTAGGTCATTCGGAACAAATGTTTCAATAATAATTCGCTTGCGATTATGGGTGTATAGCTTGAAGGAACCGGGGGGCCGAAGGAAACCTCACGAAATTAGGCAGGTGACCTTACTCCTTAACACCTGACTCAATGTCATCTTAGGATCTAAACCCCAACCCCACCCATATGTAGATGTAATATTTACATGAAGATATAACTGTTATTGGAAATTCTCCCGTGTATCTGTTATTGCTCGTCACTTCCGATTGTTGAAACCTTCATTACGCGTCTTTCGTAGCAATGATCTCTATGTTAAAATTATATTTGGAACGTGTTTAACCAGTTCTATCACATATGTGATAATGGCGGGCTCCAGTATTGTCCTTTAAAATGACTTTTGTCTGATTTTCTTATCCATAATTGATATGGGCTGATGCCGTTTCTGCTCTGGCGTTTTATTAACAGAAATACATTTGACGAAGTTGTTGGCGTATCAAATAGAAATTACTATACCCATAAAGAATAATATTTTATTTAGATGGAATTGTCTGAGCTCTTAAAGCATTACACATTCTCTTAGAAACACAATAATGTAACCAGACAAGTGTTGTAATAGGTATAATAGACTTCCTTTGTTACCATTTTAATAAATCTTTTACTTGGAGAGAAAATAGCTATTACCTATACAAATACCTCATGATCTACATGTGTGAGACATTCCTAGATGATCAAGATAAATCTAGTTCTGTGCGGACACCTTTGTATCAGAGCTGTGTAGAAACCGCCAGCAATGTACCCAGGGGTGATGTAGAAAGGGGTGTGTGGCACTTTGAGGGTGTGCCCGACACCTTTGGTCTACAAAGTTTTTCTATTGGGACAGTAGAAAGATATAAGACCCTTGACATAATTTAATTTTCTATGATTACAGTGTAAGTGTTTTGTGGTGGTTTTTTTCGTCGGAGGGTGCGGGGGGGGGGGCAACTAAAGGTCCGCCTTGGGTAGGCACAGTTAAATTATTTTGATGGTGATCTGTGTTGTGTTTTTGTCGGCTGCGTGTGCGGGGGGGGGGGCTCAAGTTTCACCCCACATGGGCGCAAACGCCATTGCTTGGCCACTGTAAAAATATATTTCAAGAGCACATAAAATGGCCAAACAAAATTTTATGTCCTTCTAGCCAATGGTTACTGTATGCACTTTACAGCAAGTTCACATCATTCTGATCCAAATTAAATGCAAATCACAGTTGTTGTTGACAATTCAGAATTTGAATAATTTACAACAGCATTCCGCCCTTTCCGTAATAATTCGTACTTGGTAAATTTATGAAAAAAGGAGCAGTATCTAAAGATAATGCGGCAATAGCAGATTTACTCTAAAATATTATAATCCAGTACTAGACCAGAAAAGCCCGTATAGGTAATGATAAGTACAGCCATCATGTTACTTGAAGCACGCCGTTAATCCACATAAGCTGTATAGTGTAATAAGTTTGCAGTCCCTGTGACGTAACGCGTCAATCAACTGGATTAAGGCTGTAATCGAAAAATTGAGAAGTGTTTTAGAGGGTCTGAAACATAAATGGTCATAATAAATACTAGCTTCAAGTACATACGATTTTGATATGACCATTTTATGTGGTCTTTAAATATTATTATGTTGTTTTTATTGATGTAGGGGGCGGGGGTGGATGGCCGAATTGTTAGCGCGTGCGCGCTGTATCATACGATTTGTCATTGAGTCAACAGGCGTGGTTTCAATGCCCCGGTTGTTCGTGACAAGGAGTATGGTCGCCTGTCCAGTCTCGTGGGTTTTCTCCGGGTCCTCCGGTTTCCTCCCACTACTAAAGAACCCTACGCGCAAGCGAATTATTGAAATAAAATTAAACCATATGTAAGTCACGAAATGACCTAGTTTGTGTCGAGTGGACATTAAACCCCATTTCCCTCTCTCTCTCTCTATTGATGTAGATTTAATACTGTTTAAACAGAAATTTATAACATCTCAGCATTTGTATTCCATACAAATTTTCCATACAAATGGTTTAAATCTGAAATATCTTTAATATCTAACCCTGTATTCCATACAAATGGTTGAAATTCTATAATTATACTGTAATTATAGGTCAATTATTCTCTTCGAGGATGTTACTGCTAGTGTATATAATTTATCTAATACAATAACAACCCATACAATTAGCTTTTTTGTACCTTTGTACTTATAAGCAACCCTCGTTTAACATATTTTATTCAAATGATTGTTGCTGGCTAGGATTTAAAAAGTTTTAATGCCATGTCTGTCGGGATGAGTTATGGAAGACAATGAAGAAAACTATAATTTCTGGTTCAAACTATGTAATTTGTTTTTATTTCTTGACCTTTATTTTTTACACATCATTTTGGTGCACAAAGGTCATTGTTAATGTATATGTAGACGACCAAGGCACGCGAAACTGAGGATGAAATATTTGCAATAAAGAGTTGATTAGTCTTACATAATATTTTGGTGAAATAATGGCATTCTGAATGTGCTGCTTAGTCTTCCATAACATTTGCATTACAACAACATAACAACATCAATCTGATTAAAATACAGATCTATATTTCGTTTCGTTTTTTTATACTTTCGATGGCCTACACTACATGAAGGTCACGTCAGGGGTCAAAAGACCGACTTATGACCCTATGATGTCAGACATTTGATTAACCAATCAGCATTGATGTTACTAGTGGATTACCCACAGTTCCGTGCAAAACACGCCGAAAGCTCGTCGTGACAGACCGTTGGCTTATCCCTGACACCATTCAGAACACGAGTTCAATTACAACTCTTCCAGATCCAAGTGTAGTAAAGAAAAGTAAAACGAAATTTTTAACTATAAAAACGAAACGAAATAGGATTTGTGTTTTAACCAGATTATAACAACATGAATCGTTGATTTAACAGTTGTGTTATAAGGTAAAATCATTTACGCCCATAGACAATGATATAGAACAAGAAAGAAAGAGCGGATTCGTATTCCTTATCATTACACATGGTGAAGTATGTTCTCGTAATATATCAGTTGTACGTTCAAACAATATAAAACGCAATATATTCTTATTTATGGGAAACAGTGGAGGCACAGTCAGTCAGGCGCTGGCCCATTAATCAGGATGTGTGGGGTTCGATTCCAGAGTTGACCGAGAAAGTTTCCGGGGATTTTCAAACGTGGTTTCCGCTTGTTGTACGACAGAGGGTCTTGTAAGAATAGGCATCTAATCGTTGGGATGGGACAAAATTCGAAATAACGGTCGGAATTCGAAATAAGAGTAGGCCGTATAGTGCACTGTATGACATATGCCCGTCTTCGTTAACCCGGTCGGTGGAGAAAGTAGGACGTTAAACCCTCAATGGCATGTCAGTATTTTTTTTAATTAGATATAGGATGCCAGTAGTCTATGAAATGGCAATGTTATGATTGTTGCCAATAGAAAGCTATAAAGAAGTCTATTGTTTGAAACAACAAACCAAATAAAATCAGACGGGTCGTCTTTTTTATAATATAATTGATTAAGTTTTCTCCACGTTGTGCTTGGCATTGTTTTGATGTTTTGGTTATTTATTTACTAATCAATATATTTATCAATATTTTATATTTTACAGGAATCAGTAGGGGGTAGGTGTTATATGTTGGTGAATCGCTGAGATTGGAGTATAATTGTTTTGGTCGATGTCTCTGATATCAACTATGGATATCGTACAGACTCTGATTTCCTTCTTCACCTTATTACAAGTGGTACTCGCCTTAGGTATAGTATATTTATCTAATCTACATATTACGAAATACAAACCCCTTGTCAATGGCGAGGAACAGAACAGTGTCTAGTCGTTAGGATGGGGCGAAAAACCGAGCTCGCGTTTTACAGACTGGCGTGCACGTAACAGAACCCTTGACATTTGGAATTCGAAATAAGAGTATGTCGTAGCACCGCTGTCTTGGCAAAATTTTCCCTCAAAGCACACTGCATGGCGTATGCCGGTCTTCATTAGCCCAGTTAGTGCGAAAGCGTAGGACGTTAAACCCCATTTCATTTCATTTCACAATATACAAATAGAAAATGAATGTAAACCTACTACTTTTCTGTACCAATTTGGGGCCATTGTAAATGAAATAGTGTATCTTTGGCAAATTTAATAATAAAAAAAATAGTTGGGACTCCAATACGCGATTTCTGCGTTTCTGCTATTGTCTCTAGGCGTGACTAAAGCGCAAATAGCCCTGAGAGGTCAAATTAATGTTATAAGTTTTCTGTATCATTGATATTGCGGGCAAGCTGAGCGTTGGTGGTGTAACTTTATTTTGAGTTTCAATAAAAATCTATTAAATGGTTAGCTCGTGACAAAAATCGTCATACAGGTGTACTTTGGACTTATTATTATTAAAGCATGTCAACTTCTTCAAAACAAATCGACTGAAGCTTCTATTTGTCATTAACAATTCGATCTTTAGAGAAATATATGTTTTTGAAATATATGAAATAATATCGAGTCATCCTACCACATGCTTTATCGTATATAAAATATACTATTAGCTGCTATATTTAATTGAATAAGCTCTAGCATAGACACTAGCTGATGTTCACCCTATAAACAGATAGTGATTCACTAATACTGATGTATACTAAAAGTATTATTACTAGAAATAGGGTTTAACGTCCACTCGACACAAACTAGGTCATTTATGGTACTAACATATTATGGTACAATTTTATTTCAATAATTCGCTTGTGCGTAGGGGTCTTTAGCAGTGAGAGGAGATGGATGACCCTACTCATTGTCACGCCACTTGACTCAATGACACGCGTTAGACCACCCAATCACCCAGATACATAAAACTTTAATTTATAAATCAATTTAATAGACCGGGATAATCCGGAATTCAGCTATATGTCGTTTTATCGATATAAACTGTTTGATATAGGCAAATCAAAGTAGGTAAATGGATTATCTATATCAGTGAACTCTGTGTATCTCTTTAAAGATCTTCAGTTATTGACCCCAGATATCAAATATCTTCTTATTTTTATTGGGCCAGGATCTAAAACGTTTTTCTATAAAGGTTGTATATGAGAATAATTGTCTAAAATAAGATTTGAAATTGTTCTAATAGAGTCCATCCATTCTGCTTTGGGTAAATAGCGTGATAGATAGTCGATAATTTAGTTTGTATATTCGATAAATATGTGTGTGTTACATGATGAATTCCCGCCTCTTTCGTTTACTCATGCTGCCAATATCCAACTCATTTTATAAATGTCAACACATTGGTTTGATTTGTTTAAAAGATTGGATGAAAAACACCGCCATGGTTAAATAATGTCTTCGTCATTCACAGTTGACTGCTCCTCCTTAACTAAATTTTATTTCTGATTCTCAATTGAAACAAATAACCGAACATGCTGTGGAGTTGGGTGCTCGATTCGTCTAACGCGTCCACTGTAGATCATAAAGTCTGTCATTGAGTCAAGTTGTGTTGTTTAGATTCCTAGCAAGCAAATTATTGAAATGATATCGAACCATGTATTAGTCCCGAAATGACGTGGGGCCCAAATAACAGTGTATCAGACGCAAAATCGTCTTGTGTCCTCCCCAACCTTCTCCCCGGGCTTCCGTAAATTTATATATGCTCTTAAGCATGTTTACTCGTCGCTGGAAATCTCGCCCTCCATATCAAACGTGTAAAACACATTTTTACGAGACCAATTACACTGGAAATATCACCGCTTTAGACAATCCAATACAGCCTCCAATACGACCTACTATGACACGAATCGGTAATTGTGGATTTACATCCCCATCGACCTAACAAATCCTGCGAAACTTTATTCCAATTTCCTTAATTTCAAAATTATAAAATGATAAGAGTTACAGTGTGGGGGTATCGCCATGGGAGTCATTAAAGCACCGAGTTATTTATTTCTTGTCTCGACCCTTAGACTATACATTCCATATACAATCTAACAATATTAACTAAGTTTAGATAAATCATACTCACTGGTCTCTAGTCCGAACAAAATAATCGAAAAAAGCTAATAAAAATTGTCGAGTTATTGAAGATAGGAGCCAGCAAAGATGTTATTTCTATATTAATAAGATTATGTAAGAGTTAAATACGGTAATAAGCCCTATAGGGACTCGTTAATGTTCATAATCAGTTGATCGTGATGAGCTGATCAACTTGAACGAAATGGGCATAAAGCAATTTAAAAATCATTTAGATAATTCATGAACGACACATTCTTATTGTAGATGAAATCATTCATATATTGGTTATATCTTTACATAGGATGTATGTTCTACTATCTTAAGATTTTGGATTAAAGTTAATGTTATTTGTTTAATTACATTTGATTACAAATATTTTGATGATAGATTCTGTAATAAATTAGACACATTTGCTTTATTGGTAGATGTGGGATGGTGTACCTCGTGCGACACAATTCGATTTTATATATTCATGAAAACCCTGCTCACTGTATGAAAGTTCTGTCTTCTTGTTGTTGTTTTTTTTTAGGTGTGTGTGTGAGGGGGGGGGGGGGTTAGGGGACATATACTGTTCATATCTATCAAAATAGGTCATGTAAAAACGATAGCACTCTTTAAAAGCGGTTTATTTTGTCTTGGATTTGTACCCAAGAAAATAATTACCGTGAAAAAAAAAACATGTATTCAGAAACTCCAATATAATCATAAATAATGGATTAATACAATCATTATTAAATTTATTGCCGTTTATAATGAATATAAGAATTTAATGTAGGAGGATTTAATGAGAGAATTGGAGACATAGATCTTACTCGTTCAATATTTACCGAGCTGAATACCAACAACGTCTGAAACCATAAATGACACTTCTTAAAGATGAAAATGACTCAATGCTTTTATTGACCAATTTCTTCATTTCCACCAAAACAGTTTCTAAATGGATGATATCTATGGCTTCGGGATAGGTTAGCCCCCGTTTCTATCTTTATAACACGAGCGGTTGTTAATTCATTTGGACATGATTTCAATTTAGAAATGAACTACTTCTTGCCCATGGCATTCTGAGTATTGAAACTTCGGTAGTCGTCTCTGGAGAATCCTCGATCTTCCTTCTCGAAACTCGATAAGCTAACCCGACCCATCCTTGTTCAGAAATCATTTCAAATAAACGTCAAATAACTCAATAAGGACTCCAGCTATTGTGTATGTTGTTCCCGTATTAGAGAGCGACTTCACCGACCTGAGTGTCAGTTTGCTTGGATGTTTACACTCAATAATACTGGAGATTCCGTGTCGAAGACTATAGCCCATTCGCCTCACACCTCTCCAGTAAGAAATTTATTTCCAATCAGAACCGATATTCTGTCATCAATAAAATATTTATTATGGTTAATCGGACCGGTCAGGCAAATAAAATTGGACTGGATGAGTGGCTTGATGAAAATGTAATATTAATGAGCAATAGAGATACATAATAAACTTTTTGATTATATATAATATTACTTAGAGAGAAGATTGTTATATTTTATTGCCCTTAGCCTTGAAGTAGAATACCTCGCGCCATAGGAGTTGAAGATACCAATCAATGCAAATAGCAAATCTATAAACCACTATAATTATGTACATAGACCGATGCCAAATATTACCCACTATTTATATGTTAGCCTTAATTGAAAAACGACTCTTTAGCCAGATTAATGCTGCAATCATTTCCACATTTTATGATTTAACTAATACAATTTCCCCTGTCTACCTAGCAGCAGAACTCTAAAATCTCAAGTCTGTGATAATTAAATAGAAAATTCATCAAGAAAACCCCGAAGAATTCCTTTGACAGGGTGACTATAAAATGCGTTGTTCTACTATGTTTTCAATCCCTTTAATGCGTACAAGTTTCTTCCTAAAAGCGGTGAAAGTGGGCCAACTAAATGGCTTAGATATTGTTTGATATTTAATGGCCAAATTGGGAGATCGCGTGTCATGATATCTGCCAAGGGAATAATTTAGAAGACTATTTATTGATATATTATTGCATTTAGTATAAAGACCGTTCAAATCTTGTAAGCCACATGTAAATTAACATTGTATGTAAGTAGGTCACTCATGTATTAATTCGTATTTTTAGGTTGTTTTTTTATTTAATTGGTCTGTAATCGTGACTGCGTAATACGAAATCTGCACATGTCAAATTATTCAGAGACAAACTTATTTCAGACAGAACGACATATCAAAAATAATCTCACCAAAACACGCATTAGTCATAAACGTATTAAAAAGCTATCAAAACTAATGGCTCGCAGTTCCGCGTTAAAACGCTGTACTATATATCCTTAAATACTTTCAAATGTTTTCGCTATCCCAATTAACGTTCACCCAAGGAGACAATATTTCCATTCTGCTTCGTTCGTTCGTTCCTGGAGTTTTTCGTCCACTGCCACCAAAGATGATATCGTAGACAAGTGTTTCCTAAGAAACTGGCCAGAGGAAGTCACAAAAATAGGCTTGATTCAGCTTATTTGGATAAGACACAGTGTCTTTGCAGGGAAACGCCCAAGGTATATTTCATCCAAAGGAGAGGCTCAACACATTCTGCTAATCGCTGACCTCTTTTATATCTTCGATTTACCCCAGAAACTCGGCATTCGGGTATATGACTTTATGTTTCCGGATACTTGATCATGGTAGAATATCAGCGTACAAATAGCGATCCATTTACGAAATGCAGTGTGCTTTAACGCCCTCCTTTTCTGAACCGATTGGGCTAATAAAGATGGCTGATCTATTTAAATCAATTTCAAAATAAATTTAAAGTGCGTTACATTGAACAAAATGAAGTGTCCCTTATTTCCAGATGAGAAGAGTGACATTGAAATCGAACAAGATGACGTTAAACCGAAGCATCTATGACCATTTGTGTATTTATTTGTATTTTCAGGTTTTGGTAATAATACTAAGGAAGTTATATCGGCGGAGAAGGTATTAATAAAGAAACTCTTAGAAAGATATGAACGTCAGGGTAAAGTCGGGCGTCCCGTCGTCAACACATCAGATAGTTTAACTGTATATTTTGGACTGTCTTTAATACAGATTTTAGATGTTGACGAAACGAATCAAGTATTGAAGAGTAATATCTGGTACCATTATGTAAGTATTAAAGCTAGTCTTTCAGATGTGAAGAAAAACGAGGTCCCGTTTACACATTGGCGTGCACGTAAAAAAACAATATTGACAGTTGAAATTCGATATAAGAGTAGGCGCTGTCCGGGAACAGTTTCCCTCATAGCACAATGCATGGCGTATGACCGTCTTCATTAGCCCAGCAGTTGCAGAAAAGTAGGACGTTAGACGTAATTTCATGTCAAGTATTAAAGTAACGGGGACCTCTTGTTTTAGTTTAAAATAAAGTGTCGAGTTGTGTTCTGTAATGTGTTAGTTACATCGCTTATCGATGGACTTGTAAACCAAATCCTATCTTGGCCTGCGCGACAACTTGATAGTCACAGATGAACTCATGTCACTAATGTGACTAAGTAAAAGCTGTCTGCTACGTACCAGTCGCTCTAAAACTGCCTGAGACTATTTGCAGAGGGTCAAAAACTACTTTTACAAGAACTCATGATGACCGGGTAGTCACGATTAATTAGTTGGTATTGCGTACATGAGTCGCTGTAACGCAATTGCAACCAGTCGCCAAATAGTACGTCTCAATAAAACTCCCTAATACTATACTATTCAAAAAAAGTAGGGGATATTTGATTTTGGGGGCATAATACTAAAATATGCAAATGACTACGAAAAAAGTCACTATAGAACCTAACAGAAGAAACATTTCCAGTTACATGTGACGCCCAAACGCACCAATAGCTACCGCATGGAATGCAGGTGATGCTTGGGATCATCATGGGGGTCCAACCCAAGATTTGCACGACTCTGACTTTGAATGTTACAGTCATTGTGGCATTGAATTCCAGGGTGGAAACATCAGTTTAATTGTTTTAGTGACCAGAAAACAAATTTTGATATGCGTCGGCTTACCCAAAATGAAAGGTTACGTGCCCTTGGCATGCTACAGATCGGCACAACACAGGCGGTTGTGGCGCGGACGATGAATGTTTCTCAGTCTGTCATAAGCAGGCTATGGTCCAGATACCGTGATACACAATCTGTACAGGACAGACCACGCTCAGGTCGACCAAGGGCGACAACTCAAGCCCAGGATCGATTTATCCGTACCTTGGCCTTGAGAAATCGTGTCATCACAGCAAATCAGATCAGCGCTCGTCTTCAAACAGACACTGGTGTGAGAGTGAGTGGCCAGACGATTCGGAATCGACTGCATAGGGGTCACCTTCGCGCCCGACGTCCTCGCGTGATCCCTTGTTTGAGAGATCATCACATTCAGGCAAGACGTCGTTGGTGTAGGGATCGTCAACACTGGGATAATCGACGCTGGAGCAATGTGATGTTTTCAGATGAGTCAAGGTTCACTGTTGATTTTTTGGACAGACGTAGGAGGGTGTGGCGTCGTCGAAACGAGCGCTTCCAAGACGTTAACGTCATCAGACATGATCGATTTGGGGGTGGTTCTGTTATGGTGTGGGGAGGCATCACTGTTGCTGGAAGAACGGCTTTACATGTTGTTGCAGGGCGTGTTACAGGCCAGTACTACCGGGACAACATCTTGTCAGTCCATGTTGTGCCGTTCGCACGACGTCATGGCCGCCGTTTCATCTTCCAGGATGACAACGCAAGATGTCACAGGGCCAGGATCGTTACAGGTTACCTCCAACAACAGAACATCACCACATTACCTTGGCCAGCACTGAGTCCCGACCTCTCCCCCATCGAGCATGTCTGGGACATGCTTGGACAGAGGTTACGTCAACGTCAACAACGTCCTGCCAATGTCCAAGAACTTGCTGCTGCGTTGCAACAGGAATGGGACAATCTGGACCAAAATGACCTTAGACGTCTCATTAGGAGTATGCCACGTCGGATCAATGCTTGTTTGGCAAACAGAGGAGGATTTACCCGTTACTGACTTGGTTGTGATGCTGTGGTAACTTTGCTGTTTGACCCCGGGTATCATTTTACCCTTATAATGGTCAGTCTGTGCCTTACTTAGTCTAACGATCATTTGGAATAAATCGATGAATGTGAACTTCATTTCATTTTGTCATTTGTTTCTTCGTCAGTTTCATTAGGTGACTTTAATAACACTTAAAAATCAAATATCCCCTACTATTTTTGAATAGTATATTTGCAGGCGGTCAAAAACTAGTTTTACAAGAATCCATGATGACCGAGTCGTTGAGATTAATTAGTTGGTACTACATTTATGAGTTGCAGTAACATATTTGAAACCGCTCGTCGTAAGCGCGATACACGACCGACATCAGTCGAAACGTAAAAATATAACATAGAGATGTATATGGTGTAACCAATGCGCATTATGTCCTAATTATTATGTTTGCAAGTTTCACATAGAACAAACTGTTCCCTATTGATATTTTTTTCACCAGATATGTTCAGATTACTCCTACGATCTGTGTATTATTTTACTAACAATGTTAAATTGACACTAAAACATTTTAAGTTTGACATAATGTTTGATAATGCCTCGTTTCTGTGCGTGTTATTAAATCTTTGTGGAATCGAAATGAGATTGGGTGATAATATCACGATATAGCGAACTTTAATACACGATAAATTATTAACTGAAAGAGCAAGTAAGGAGAAACAAACAAGATATTACAAAATTCCATTCCACCGAGTCCACGTTCAACAAAGAAGTAATTTGGTTTGTCGCTATAAAAGAAACAAATAATTACTTTCAAATATGTAAAACCGCTATGGGAATTTCGCAACACGAGATCACAAATGAAACAAACGAAAGCCTTAGTCCAAAAGCCGACGCCGAATCAAAAGATAATTTTGGACGTTGACTTCTTTAATCATTTGTACCTTGCTTATGTAATAATAAAGGAAAAGGTTCCACGGTAAGAGTTTTGTTCAGTGCAGTGAACCTGGTCAGCCTGAAAGCATAGCTTGGGTGGGCTCTCTGCTGAGCGGCACAAATATTAAGGGTGGTGCGGAGGATGGAGGGTGTCTCTCCCGTCCCCGTTAAGAACATTTGGAAAAATGGTCAAATGGAAGGCTCGTTTCCTAGTAGGTTATATCTGAGAATATTTCTAAAATGTAATTAGAGGTTTTATGTCGCTTAGTAAACCTATCCCCCGCCCTTGAACTGCCTGCCCCATAAGACAACCTATAATCTTTTGACATCATTTTTATTATGTAGGAATTTATTGGAGGGGTGTGTGTGTGTGTGTGTGTTAGTAATATTAAGGCAGACATTTCTTAACTCAGATTAAGCTTCTGCTAATCATATAATGGAATTGAATCGATACCTAAATTATCTAAAATAACATTACTCCAATCAGCAATTGACCGGAAAGCAAGTTATCCAGAATAGCGACCTACGCTATGGTGTTTTTTTGCAAGTTGTCAGTTCCTATTTCCATAATAAAAGGAAAGACTCAAACTGCTAATTTGAACTTTTAGCTAACAATAGAAAAAAACACCCTTTAAAATATCTAGTATCCCCATAGTTAATGCGTCTTGATGGGTAAATTATAAATGTTGTAAATTAAACATACATTATGCAAGAGCTAAATATGCCTATTGCAGGTCTTTCTTTAGGCCTGAAATGTTATTTAAATTAATAATTAGATGCCATCGCTAGCCTGAGATGTTTATGTTGCTGTAAGACTTCCATTCATAATTTAATCATGAAATGGATAATCGAGACTATGTTTTTTTTTATCGTACCGACTTTAGTAATGATGATCGAGGCTAGGCCGAAAATTCAATTGCTAAAATCTCGGTTCAGAGTGTATCAATTTGACTGTAATTTTCAGCAAATTCCCATTACATTATCTAGTTTTTAACTATTATAGCGAGAACTGCCAGCTCTTTATCTAATCCCCCATAATGTATCTTTAAGTTAGCGAAAGATATCTCCTCCACCGCACCCCATTTCTCAGAAATTGAGGGTGGGGTGACCTCGTTGTTCCCCCTTCGGGGTTTCAAGGCTACTGGCATTCAGAAACACGAGACGAGACGGGTAATTTGAATCCTTTAATTTACACCAACGGGTCACGATCAGACTTTATCATCATTTACACTTCTAAGTTCTACAGTGTGAACATGTCTTGGGATAAAACGAAACCTCGAGATTCGTGTGTTAAGTCATCAATTTCATAATCTGATAACATCCACCAGAAGGTGAAGATTAACAGGTATACAGACATTGATTATAAAATGTTCCCGCCATTTATCTTGGACATAGACGTGATAATGTTTACACATGCAAATAAAACTCCAGGAACCGTTGTCCTCAACCAAGAGTTTCTTTTCCAATTCCCACTTTCAACAATGGTTATGGAGAGAGTTACATGAAGTTTGACATATGGTATGCTCAAAATCCAAAAATAAAAAAACATCTTATAAAAATAATGTTGTTTTTCTACAGTAAGTAGATTTGTTGGTTCTCTATTTGAATTATAAGGAAGGCATTGATCGAGAAGAAGCGCACGGTACCTTATTATCAGGGGTAACGCATGCGACAGTTGCGTGTTTAAAGGTTCGGTGATGCCCGAGGTCAACTGCAGACTTCCAAGACTCAAATAGCCTATATGGTATAATACTAATGAAAGCCCGGGTCGGGGGATGAGAGGTCCCACTTTTCACTGGGTTTCTGAAAGAAAAGTTCACTTAACTCTACCAATATTTAGGGGTTACTTTATTCTGTAATGGAACATTCCTATATATACATGATAATTTCAGTAAATACAGATGCTTAACGTGTGGTGAAAGTGTCTTGCAGACTCTTGTACTAGGTCCTTGCGACTATCTGGATCTCTTTTTAAATGAAATGCAAACTCCCATTGTCTATATAGGTTGACTGTTGGGGTTGTTATAGGGTTAGGTCTTAATATTATGGTCACCCGCCGATTTCGTCAAGGTCACGAGATGTAAACGAAATGAAATGAAATGAAATGAAATGAAATGGGGTTTAACGTCCTACTGTTCTGCTCCTATACTGGGCTAATGAAGACGGGCATACGCCATACAGTGTGCTA